CCACACATTTGGACTGATTTGTGACCACTGTTTGGGAGGGATGGTTATATTGTGTATCTGGAATGAATTTTAGGTCTCTACGTCCATCCCATGGGGAATGGGAGCAGTAACAAAGGTGTTGCGTTTATATTTTTGTTGAGTGTATGAGGTTCCCCTGAGCAAGGTATCATCTCATTTATAAAGGTATTATGGTTAAAGGCACAATAGAAAAAAAATCACATATGTAACACGTAAAAGATGTTAATCTTGATTTGGTGCTCTCTTGGTGATATAGGCTGTAAAAGTGGGGAGTTAATACTTTGTTGTCTGACTGTGGGAGTGCAGAGATGCACCTAGACCAACAAAGCTTGGCCGTTCCATCTGTGTCTCACCATCAGTGCTACATTAAATCACACGAGGGATCATAAGCAGACATAAAATAATTTCTTAAGCCAGAAAAAAGATTTTGAAAAAACTGAATTTATCATAATAAAACATGTTTATGAGAAGACAGCATCTTCTCATAAATCAAAAATGACTGACCGTTGTATAGTAAAATTATCTGGGCCGCTGTCATATCCATCACATCGGACTCGGACGTGGTCTGTTGAGCTGCAGACAAGCTGGAGCTTGGTGCCTTTGCGGCTTTCTCGCTCTCCGCCTCCCCTCACAGTTTGATGTTAATCATTTTTAAAAGGTGAGAGAGCAGAAGGAGAAGTGGGAAGAGCCTCCGTTGCAGTCCAGGAAAATCTTTTTAACAGGGTTAAGAAGGCAAATTGGCAAAAATCCACAAGCGTTCAACCTGCCTCGAAGCCCTATAACAGTGAAAAAGCGTCTTCAGAGAGCAGCAGTCAGTGCTCATTTTCCTCTGCCTCTCTTTCCCCCCGCTTGTTCTTCACCAGCTGAGCAGTGCAGCACTCCTTGCCTCCATCTCTTTCACTGCTTCTCACCTTCTTTTTGCACCCCAGCACCTTCCCTGGCCTTGTTGCTCTTCTCACTTTTCTGTGCCCTTTCTTCCTTTTCATTCCCAGCTGGTCAATCCCTTGTTTGACTTTTCATCTCCATCCTTCAGGTTTTGGATGATGGCAGCATCAGTGACACGTTCACCCATAAGTCCCTGTTCCCTGAGGATATGGACCCCCTGTCAGTCAGTGGGACCCTTAACCCTGACGGTACCCTGGTGGTGAGTGTTCGCCAGAAATCAGCACTCACTGGGAACGAGCACCTGGGTATCCCAGTCTACAACACTGGGGCTGACCTCTGACCTGTGCGCACATAGTGTGTCTCGTGGTTTCTCCCATAGTTTTAAATGATCTTTTATAACTTTATAGTGTTGTTTATAGCTTATGCAAATTGTGTGGCCATGTGCACTGAATATTTATATAAATGAGTAACTAATTAATCATTATTTATAGCATAAGCACAACGTGGCACCACCACTTCCTCTTTTCGCTTGCAATCACATCATTTGCTTCCAGTAAATCTCTCGCTGTCTCAACCCCTCTACCAGGATGATCAGGCTAAACACTCCACAATGCATTAACAATCCCACAAATGTATCAGGCAGATTATTAAGTTCATGTTAACATCATGTTTTAATTACATTACTTTCCAAACAAAAGTCTCCAAACCCTTCAGGAACGTTCAGGTGCTGCAGGAACTAAAAGCCCAGGGAAGCCCATTGTTATCAGGCGTGTGGTAATTAGTCAAATAAAGCAACTCTTGTTTTCCCAGTGTTGTTTTTAATCACAAAAACCAGAAAAAAAAACAAAGCAAAACTGGATGATATAAAATGTAAAGCTCATCTTTGTGTTGTTTTGCTGAAGCGCAGTGAATAGACACGCTGCTAATAGCAGCGGAGGATGATGGGACAGTACTTTCAGACCTGCACCATCATCTGGCTCACATGTGTCTGACAGAGCACTCAGCTTCTCTCTTTGATCAGTCCAGCTGTGCACCTTTTGTATTTTTACACTTCAACTCAGTTTCATAGGCATCACTGAGGCGTGTACTGATCTCATAATGCTTCCAAAACACATGTGACCTCCAGCTCAATGCTGAGGCCCTCTGTATCCTGTCAAAACGAAGACGGGGGACTGTGCTGCTATTCTGCTAAACCTGCTGGTTTTACTCTGCAGATTTATTTCTCTGGAACAATTTTTTGCAGTAAAAGATGACAGATTTATTGAATTATTATTTGCTGATGTAAAGTTTCAAACTGGTTTGAAGGTGTTTGTTCTAAAAATGTTGTAAACTGTTCAAAACCTTCATGGTTGACTTCAGGAATCCTTGTTTTTAGACGATTCAACTAATCTGTGTTTCCATGTTAATTGAGTAAATTAAACGTATTCTGTTTAACTAAAGCAGATCTTTGTTGTCCAATTTGTATCAAAATCAGGTCTTTTCTTAGACGTGGAATAAATATGTGTTTGTGCAAAAATGTCTAATGGTTGTTGGTTTGTCTGTCACTGATCAGAGAGCAAACAGATGGTGCAGAGTGGTGCTCACTGCGTCTCCCTTCTTGACTGTAAGCAGCGTCAGCTCTCAGAACAACCTCACAGTCTCGCTCAGATTCTCTACCTGCAATCTGCACACACACGTCTTAGAAAACTTTGAGGTTACATAGATCCCTGACCCACAAACCTAACCATCACCAGCAGGTCTACTTTAATAGTTGGTCTGTTGTAGAATCTGTTTTGAAGTCAAACAAAGGGCAGGAGAACAAAACACTTAATTTACATTGAATTTTAAAAACAACATATCAACTTGTTCGTGCTCATTTAAGCTCGGTTTTCACGTCTACCACTTACTGAGTGGAATATGTGGAACTGAGAGGAACTAGAGGTAAAACATGCTTGCCAACACTCGTTACATTCACTTTTAGTACAGTGGAAGCAGTGCTTTGGATGATATTGATAGTGATGATCCACAAAAAAACATAGCATGGATGACTGCATGTCATACCATCAATGATATCAGTCAGTTTTAAAAAGTTTGGAAGTTCCCACACTGTAAAAACTTACAAGAAGACTTTTTTTGAACATCTGCCTTGTCAGCATGAATGTATGGCACTTTGCCCAAGTGCTTTTTACCCCATTCGCTGGTGTTTCATCATGAAAGGAAACATTGGGTAGTTTACTTTATTCTTTCAACTCTGTCTCTCTGTTACAGCTGCAGTAATGCATTTCAGATTATTTGGGGTTAAAAAAATGCACGAAATGATCTCCATAAACATGCACGCATGTAAACAAGCCCAAGTCTCGCTGGAGAAGTTCTGAGTGTCAGACTTTAAACTCAGTGAGGAACAGAGCTGCAGCCTACCTAACCGATGAACTCGTTTAGCTCATTAAGCTTTTAGCACAGAACTCCCCACCCATTACAGTCCAGATGCTCCCCTCTCTTTCACACCAAAACAACACAATGAAGAAACGATGTGTGTGTGTGTGTGTATGTTTTCAAATTGTGAATGTGGAAGTAGCAGAAGGAGAGGGCAGGAAAGCACAAAAGTGTGTACTGTCTGTTCATTATGGTGCCAACTGTTGCAACAAAGACTCCCGCTGGAAGAGCAGAGTCAGAAGGCTGTTAGTTCAGTTTAGAGCTGCGGTGCTGGAACAGACTCACTTGACCCACTTTAATGTCATTGGATATGTCGTGTTTACAGTTCTACAGCAGCGGTGTTGAGAAGGAAGAACAGATTATTGGCATTTCTTTTGAGGGAGCCTTTTCACATCCTTTATCTAAAACAGTGGAAATGGAAATGCAGCGTAGTTAAAACGCTGCAACGGACAGATCTGCTCTTATAAATGTCTACCAGGCACACAATCCTTCTTAATCTTTGTGCCCATCTCGTGTCCATCCGTGAATGAATGCAGCAATGGTCAAAGGACACAGACTGTATATAAAAGATGGACATCACCACCTGAAACTTTGTTCTGTGCATTAAGTCCCTTCCATTGGTGGACGACCTCTCTCCTTTTTTGGTTACTAAACTTCAAAGACAGGAAGTCTCGGAGCCATAACCACAAACTGTATATAAAAGATGGACAGTCACAGCGCCACTGTGGTTACTGCAAAGCTTCATTTTGGGAGTTTTGATCTGAGCATTCTACACTGACATCTCAGCTCTTTGAAACCAGTTGCCCTTAAAGCAAAACCTGATTTAATGGCCTTCTTAACACTAATGATCATAATTTATGAATCAAAATTCTTTGTTCAATAATAGAGAACGCTAAAGTCATCAGAAAAGCGTTACTAAAGATCAAGTAAGATGAAAGGTTGTTTTTTCCCCATAGATTTTCTCTTTGAAGCCACAAGATTTACCCCCTGCTGGCCATCAGAAACAATTCAGGTTTAAGGATCGTTGTCAGACCCTGAAAACTCTGTCTGTCTTTCATGTGCAGTAATTGGATTTTTATGCAAATCCCTCCTTAGAGTGACCTGTTGTGACCCTACCACAGAGAAAACAATTTTCCATGTTTTTCTGTTTAAACCAGATGCTGTCAGATTACATTAATACTGTTAATGAAATCTGTTTTTCTATAATGCTATAAGTACTAGAGCTTCAGTTCACTCTGGCTCTTGTGTTGAAGTTGCTAGTAGAGACAAACAAAAATATGTTAATATGGATTATAAAAAGTTTCTTTCTTCCACGAGAGGCTATTAATATGAAGTAGACTGTGATTGTTTGGATTTTAGAACAGAAGCGTGCATAGGGCAGGAGGTGAGTGTTCTTAGAAGACCTCTCCGCTGACCAAAAGGGGTTTGGACAAAGCAGCGTGAAGCCTGTAACTCTCAGAGCTTTAAAAAGATTTGGGACAGACTGAACCATATTGAACACCGTAGTGGCATCGCTGTGTGTATGCCTCCCCACTGGGAGTATTAGTCAAAGACAAAAACAACACTCCAGGTGCCTTCCAGCTGCTGCTGAAGGGAGGAAAGAGAGCAGACAGCAAAGAAGCGCAGCTGCAGAAATTAAAGAAGACAGAAAAAAGAAAGAAGTCTGCAACAAATCGCCATGTTTGTTAAAATCTCATTTATTCATCACTGATATACAAAAACAATGTTTCTTTTTGTTCGGTGCGAAAAATAGCTCTGGATCTTGTTCAGCTCGGTCTGGTTTGGCCCTTGGGGGGTTTGCCATAGTGGAGGCCTCCAGTATTTACAGTCCCTTAGGAGTGGATAAAAGATTACCCTCATCAGCTGATGGGGGATTGGGGTCTTATCAAAGCCTCTCAGACTGAAGGGGAGGACAGAGGGGCTTATAATAAAACTTTCCCAGGAGCCTGTTTTATCAGGGAAAATCTGGGGTAGGCGCTTGTATGTCAGTGGCAGCTAATGTTTAAGGTAAAGGTTTCCCAAAAACCAAATAAGGTGTAAAACCCATTTTCCTTTTAAGACCTAAAGGTGTGAACAGTTTAATATTTCAACACAGATTCTAGTAAGCTTTCATGGCAGCTTCTGGGAAACCTTTGCTTTAAACCATTATTTGTTCTCCAAAGCAAAAAGTCCATTATTCTCATGCCTAACGTTACAGCAGTCACCTTTAACCAGGCATCAACATCCACAGGTCACTGGTGAATCATGTAGGGTTAGGTTAACATCCACCTCTTTTAAAGCTTATTGCCTGTTTGAAACACCCAAATGCAAACGTTTTTCTAGAAAACACTGTAGTGGCAATTCCTCAATGTCTCATTTGAAATGGAACTTTTTAACTTTTACTTTTTTTTTTAGCATGTGGCTAAACCGAAACCAAACCCAAACATAGATAAGTCCCCGGTGACTCAGTGCATGTTAAAAAGCTCCACAGTGGCATCATGGTACATGAACATGGAAGATTCTGGATTTTTGTGTCGGTTTCAGGATTGTTACAACCCCCTAATTCCATCGTCGCTTCATCACACAGTAGCTCCCGTGTGAGAGTAGCTTCTCTGCCTACATATACATGTTTTTACACTTTTCAGGTTTCTTTACAAAAATAAGGTTATACCGCATTCACGCCATTGATTCAAACTGGGTTACAAAGTGAGATGAACCACTGTTATTGCACAAATTGATTAACCACAAATAGATCAACCATAAAAAAAACAAAACACAAAATGAGGAGGGGAGAAAAAAGAAAAGTACTATTTGTACTCTGATTAGCACTGGCTAATAAATATGCATGTAGCTGGGCCTGGGTCCGCCTGCTAGCAAAATGAGATGAAACGCAGTGAAAATGTCGGCGGAAACAAGGAAGGCTGCGGCAGGAGCTGGAATAATGAAAATCGATGAAAAGCACAAACAAATGAAAAGAACCAAATCAGTGGATGTCGGTCACTTGTCCCCCCCCACCCGGGTGAGCTGTAATGGGGGTGTTGGGGAAGGTTCCATGGAGATAAGTGCACTCGCATGCTCTGAAACCTCACCCACCCCACTCCCATACTGTATTTGCGTGTCTGTTTGTGTGTACAGAGCAGGTTCTCTGGTTGTGTACACGCACACACCCGCACCCCCCCCCCCAAGTATCGATTGCTTATTCCCGCTGTTAAAGAAGAGGAGGCACTTGTGAAATGAACATGTCAACAGTGGACCGCATGCTGGTCGCTTCCACATTAACGTCTCATGGCTTCGTGATTACATTTCTTCCATTTTTCCCGCCATCGGGAGTCCCCCAGTTAGTGTTATTTGCATTTTACAAAAAAAGGACAAAAAAGTCTATAATAATACAAATATATCCAACATCACGTTAAAATTTGCATTAGAAAAAAGGAAAAAAAACAAAAAGAAACTTTAACTTTAAAAATCAACATAATGCGACAAATATAAAACAAGCCCCAAATTTCCTTCCAACAAGTCATGACTGGTTAAGACATTCAATAATGATTTTATATTACAGGAATGAAATTAAATATATTAATCTTTAAGTAGAAATGTGCTAACCCAAAAATCCCCCCCCCCCATCCCGGGTTAAAATCAGGGGCTGAATAAAGCTCGCTGGATGAGTGGAAGATGCCATCGAAGAGAACAAAAATCACAGGCACATGATGACAAACCTCATTCACTCCATCCATATTCATTCCTGTCAAGCTTTTGACTTTTTTGGGGTTTTTTTTGGTACGTTATGTTCATAGAAAACTCCCCCCCACATGCACTCTCTCTCATGCAAAGGCATGCTGCTATGTCACTGTGTGCGTTTTCAATTTATGGGGGGGTTGGGTGCAGCAAGACAAGACACGACCCGATAAACTAAAATCCATGCAACACATCGCACACAGAAGTGAGCTTGGAGGGATATGTGTGTGAGTGCATTTTTAAGGCATTCAGGGCCAATTCTGCAGGAAGTAGTGTCAGTAAAAAAAAAAAAAAAAAAAAGGAGCGTGTCTTTAAAATATGTGTTTGTCAGTAGTCAAAAATAATAACAAATATAGGGAAAAGATGGTTAGACGCTAGGCAAACCAGATCAGTGTTTTACTGTTGATGAGCAGCCGAGCCTGGAGCATTATGGCAGACATGAATTATTAAACTCAAAGTACTTTATCGTTATCTGTCATGACAGAAACCCCGCTGCAGTTAAAACATTGACGCATCAGGTTTCTGGTTTAACACGAGGTGTGATCAAACTGACTCGTTTTAAAGTTCGGCAGGTCTCAAGTCAATGAACCATCTTCTTGGGCATGGTAATCTATATGAATTGAAAACGGTCCAGTGGTGCCCGAGAAGATAACCTTGAAGTTGAGATCAGCCAAATTTGAATCAGGTAAGCTGACGAGTACTCGGAAGTTTCTCCAGTGGTGATGAAGTTGGTGATGGGACTGGTAAATTAACTGGAATGAATGATTAAACTAAATCTGTGAATGCTCTCTGCTGGTCACTTATAGATTTTCTTTAATGCTTTCTAATAAATAATGTTACTACTAATGTTGGTCATGGTTCCCACATGCCCGCACGTCATCATTGGGCACTCTTGCACTGTGCGCCTCACCCTGTGAACCACCCCGCCATTTATCTGTTGGGGTTATGTCTCTGATACAAACTTACATGGCACTCAAAGGCAGATTGATGAGAGAGCACAGAGCAGTTGGTTAGGTAATGACAGCTTCATTCTTTCAGCCATCCATTTGCTCCATGCTCTTCCTCCCTCCCTCACTTGCTTCCTGCCCTCTCCATCCGCCCCAACCCTCTCTAGAACACTTATTAAAAGCTATATTTAGATAAGCAGAAAACCTTGACTCGCCGAGTGCATCGCCGTTAAAATGTTGGTGTGTGTTTCTATGTGCGTGTGAAGGCTGCGGCTACAGCATGAAAGGACGTTATGAAAAGGGCTACAGGTGCCTCAGTCGCTGCCAACAGGCAAGTCTGCTTGCATAGGCTCTGCTCTCAACCTGACCATTAAGACTCGAAGTGAAGAGGTAAAGAGGGGCAATGGAAATAAGAAAACACAGAAAAGCTAAGGCATCTCTCCCCTTATGAGTCCACTACTGGACAAACTGCAGTGTAATTTATAAAGAAATGGCCAATTCCAGTCAAACCCAGACCACCTGATCATTCAGATAAATGAGGAAAACAAAGTCTAACATGTGTTCTTGAGACGTAATAATTAAAAAGAAAAATCCTGTAGGATATAGCTGTTTTGCTACCTCCCTCTTCATGCGCACACCCATTGTCTCATTTCACTCACACACGCTTTCAAAAGACACATGCACACATTACAGTAGTCTTCCTTGTCACCACTGCTGAATTTCTCTACCTTAAGTGGAAGACTCATTTAAAGGATTACATCTGCAGGTTGAAACTTTGATCCCAAATCAAAAGACACACAAGCTAAGCAATGTCTGCTAAAAAAAAAAAAAAAAGAGAGAGAAAAAAGAAGAAGAAAGAATCCCTTTTCATTTTAACCCAGTCTCGGTAACCCTAATCCACACTGGCTCTGCTGTGGGTTCCCAAGGGTAAATGGAGAGCAGGGCACAGGTTTTGTTCCACTCCTCTGGTGGAGTGTCTCTCTGGGTCAGTGCAAGGCTCCTGGAGAAAGCACTGGGTGGTCCGGGAAGAACGGAAGTTAGCGGAGAAGGAGGGAGAGGAGCAGATGAGGCGAGAGATGAAGAGGAAGCTGGCCTGTTGATCCTGAGCCCTGAGGATTTTTGAATGTTTGTAGCTTTGAGTGATTAAAGACCTCAATGCTTCATCTTCCTCCTCCTCCTCTTCTTCCTCATCACCTTTTCCCTTACTGGGACTTCTCTTCGGACTCGGAGGGGGTGCTTTCGCGTGGCAGCGACATGCTCTTGTGGCGGTCCCACAGCTTGTGGAGCTCGGTGGTTTCGTTCTCGCTGCTGCTTGTGCCGCTGTCCCGGAAACTGGCCAGAGGGGGGCGCACCTTTACACCTTTCACAGTCACTGAGCCCTCAATTGCTTTACGGAGCTGGTTGAAGAAAGATAAGGTAGTTAGAATGGAAGCAGGAAGTGTGTGTGATCATAACTTCACAGCGCAATTTAAGGCTCCCAGTTTCAACAATCTGGACAGCACTACTATACTCAATTCAACAGCAATTTTATTATTTATCAGCAGGTCATCACTATAGTCCTGTAAGGAGACTTTAGTATATCATAAAGTAAAGATCCCTAAACATTAGAGAGCCATACCAAAAGTGGCAACAGTGGGGAGAAAGAAACCTCTGGCAGCTGAGTTGAGGGAAAATCAATTTTCAAAAAACAAACAAACAAAAAAAAAGGGGAATGTCCAACTCAGTAGTACACAAACAATTTCTAAATTGTAACAGTAAGAAATATGTCAAAAGAAGCGTGCAGAATTTTATATGATTGTAGCATTAAGGAATTGTATCATACATCAAAATTCATACACCATCACCCTCATTACAAGAACTTTATATAATGTGTTGCTTTCTACTGTACCAGTACAGTAATACACTGAAAAACACACTTTTTAATAATAATTTTATATCAATATATTTTAACTTTTCTATGCTAATTAAACATCCTCAATAAAAGCAAAATATATAACTTGGGTTTAAATTCTCTCTTTTTAAAAACAAAAAACAAAAAAAGATTTGGAAACCTTTAAAATCCTTTAAAAAATATATCAATTTCTTTCAAGGATTACTTTGTGGGAGAATAGTGTACATTAAAGATACACTCTTTGGGTTTGGTGTTTAGGTCCCCCCCCCCCCACTGTTATCATTAGACTGTGCTGAATATAGCTTTAAATTTTGACCACAGTGGTCTTGCTCTACACTGCAAGATTATATCAGTACTTCTGATGGAAAGGTTGTTTCCTATTTTGGACTGAAATCTCGTTTCCAAAGTGTAATAAAGGGAAAGGCACTGTTTTTGTCCGCTAGAGTGGGATTTTCACGGCACATTCTGCACCACATCTCTGTGCGTTCATCATTTGTTTGAAGCCAGCTCACCTCCTGCAAACACTTTTCCGAGAATACGCGCTTCTTTTGTGGTTCGGACTCCTTCTGACATTTCTTTGGAGGTGGAGGAACACCACAGTAATTGCTTAAAGGAGCTTCTTCGACATCTTTAAGAGTTCCAAACAAATGTCTGTCCTCCTCCAGAAAATCTTATGTACGTAAACGCGCGTTGCAACTTCTTATCTGGTGCACATTTTTTATTTTGACAGCGCATGCGCACCTGCGGACCACTTATGTGCACCCCTGATTATAATGCTTGCCACATACACAGCAGTAATTGACAAAAATGCTTCTGCAGTCACAAATCTTCAGGAAAACATTGTATTACATAAAACCAATGATTGTCAGAGACTATTTTAGGTATTACCTGAGAGGTCTTTATCTGGTCAAACAAAATGGCACTAACAAAAAGTTGGATAAGGCAGAGAAAGAAATGGCTCTACAACTTATAACAACTTATAATATTCATATATTTATATATTAATATATATACACACACACACGTATATGTATATATATACACACACACACGTATATGTATATATATACACACACACGTATATGTATATATATACACACACACGTATATGTATATATATACACACACGTATATGTATATATATACACACACGTATATGTATATACACACACACGTATATGTATATACACACACACGTATATGTATATACACACACACGTATATGTATATACACACACACGTATATGTATATACACACACGTATATGTATATACACACACGTATATGTATATACACACACGTATATGTATATACACACACATACATACATATATGTATTTTACATTTATATTTTTAATATTTCATGTTGTTGTTTGCAACAACAGACAGATATTTTGCACATATTAATTTAATTGAAAACGTACATTACAATATCCTTTTAAATTTATTTATATGCCAAAGTTTTGAGCTTGTGTATCTGAAGTTCATTAATATTCTAAATCCTGCTCTATGCTTCACACTGCACAGAATAACTGTGATTAAACTCAACCAGTACCTAAAAGGTTATCAGTAGTAGGTTTTAAAAAAAAAAAAAAACAGGTTTCCTGTTATATAGGAATCATAGTGTTTAACATCCTCTATTGTTTATTATTGGTGTTATTAACAAAATTATGGATGTAGGACTTAGCTTTTAAGCTTTTTATCTTTATGCTAACTGCTTTGACTTGCTTTCTTGCTAACTAACATTTTCTCTGTCTTAATGGAAATGCACAAGATGAACTGTTTTGGTCCAGAGAGTAAAAGTGTACACTGAAATGTACTGAAAAAAGAAAACATTAAAAATAATCTGATCGTATTGGGTTCATATTTCAATCTGCAGGCGTGTGAAAGTTTGTTATGATTCTCTATTGAATCTCTCTGCTGTGTATTATTACATTTTCTGTTTGGCCAGACCAAGTTTGTCATTTGGCTTATAGGGGGAAAGATTTGGGTGCTACAGGTCACGTGGCAGCATTGAAAAGAGTCCTGTACGTGTGTTCTGGATCTGAAATAAAGCTATGAAACGCACTGACGTCCCTGAAATAGTTGTCGTTCATATGTAGCAGAGACGCTGTGATGTAACCATGTGTTTGTGTGACAGACAGGCAGAATGGGAAGGCTGGTACACAGAACAAAAAATCCTAAATGTCAGGGACAGGCAAGCAGCACTGCACTTAGCAACAATCCTCTCTCCACTTCCTGGCCAATTCACAAAGAGTGAAGCGTTTTCAGTTGTTTATGAGGCAGGAGAGATGGAAAGAGAGGGAGCAGGAGAGGCGGCAGAGAACAGACAGAATGACAATAGATAGAGACAGCAATATTAAGCAGCCTTTAGACTGTCACAGTACATAACAGACAGCAGGAGGAGGAATCATTAATGATGACTGAATGTCATCATTTGTGTGTGTACAGCACGGTGACAGCACTCCTGATGATATTGACAGTGCCTTTACAGTTATTAAAAGCGGTGAACAAACCATCTGTGGAAATGACGACAGTCATGACTTTTCACATGACGCTGGGTGTCAAAGAAATGAACAGAAAAAATGGATTCTAATGTATTTTAAGTTCAGGAGGGATGAAACCATGAAATTAAATCCAAGGGTTTTTCATCTATTGATAACTCTGTTGTCACACCTTCCCCCCTCAGGTTAAGAGCCCAGGTGTCATCCTGCAAGGAGTTTACTTCACCGAAACAATCTGGAAATTTCATTAAAATTTAATAAACTATCATCTTGTCTTTATTTTTAGTTAGCACATACCGTAAACACTTAAAGCTGTAAGCTAATGATAGTTATATAAGAGCAGATGCGTGCTGGTGCAATAAGCTGTATGTTTTACGTCCAATGGATGCATGATCTGATTTGTAATCGCAAAAATAATCGGTGACTAGTCGACTATCAAAATAATCGTTTGTGGCAGCCCTATTCTCCATACATACTCACCTCTGTCTGTTCCATGTGCTCGCCTGACTGCCACGGGTCTCAGAGCTTTTAGCTGTCCTGCGCCAAGACTTTGGAATCTACTTCCACCAGATCTCCACACCACAAATTCTCTTTCTACTTTTAAATCAGGTCTGAAAACTCATCTGTTCAGAACTCATGCTGTCACTATACCTTGGTCTTTTGTTACCTGATTAGTTTTATAGTTTCATTTTATTTGTTTACTTTATTTGTGTATATGTTTTATCTTATGTCTTTAAAGGTTTCTATAAATAAAATGTATTATTATTACTATTATTATTATTGTTATTATTATTATTATTATTGTTATTATTATTATTATTATTATTATTATTATTATTATTATTATTATTGTCATCAAGCTAATAAAGCAATTAAAGCTGCACAGCATGAACATACGGCCCAAAGGGAAACTTGAAGAGACGCTTACTTCTTTAAGGGAAACCACCCCGATAAGGCGTCCAATGCTGGTGACGTAGGCGTGGTCGAGGCCAAGCAGGGAGAAGATGGTGTGGGTCTGCAGAAAAAAACAAACAAAAAACAGGTGGAGCATTGTTAGTAGAAACCAGCTCTGCTGGCATCTTACTCAAAATAGAATATGACGCTGAGTTTGGGGAACGCACCACTGTTGACAATTATCAAACAATAATACCTGCATTCACACCGGATTCATTCAACTACTCAAATGTTCGGCTAAGTGGGATATTATCACTTTGGGAAATATAGGAGGGGGGCATGAGATGCTTAAAAATGGAAGTGGTAAAAACCTGCTTGTATCATAAGAACTAAGTAGTATCTGATGAAAACAACAGGAGGGAACAGATTAGACTGTAGATGGAAAATTCTTTATTAACTTGACTACAGAGCTATCAGGAAAGGTTCAAGGCAATGGTTTGGTACTGGCACACAAGGTACATGTGTCCCAGTACCACATTACTCTTGATTTGCAGTGGTTCCAGCTGTACGCAACTGAGCAGTAGATGCAAACGAGATTTACAAACTTCACAGAGGTTTGCATACAACCTTTGCGATTATAACCTTTGTGGAGAGCTCAAAATATTCTTAGCAATTTCCCCCCTTTGAGAGCCAGGGGAGACCAATGCAGATCTATAAGGAGAGGATTTTATCAGACACGGCTCCCATGCTGAAGTTTGTAGTCTAGAACACGGATTTCTTAATTACTGAAAGTTGATTCAATAGTTGAATTTCAAACTTAAGTTTTTTTCTTGCACATTTGAGTTTAAGTCAAAATTTTGAGATGCTCAGATGAAAAATCTGACTGACAATCAAAACGTTGTCAGTTGTGGAAACAAGCTTCCATAAATGATAGATAATGGGTACAAACTGGTTGGACATTTTCTCTCTGTATCATTTATTGTTAGCACCTTGAGGTAACCATTGTTGTGTTATGGCACTATATAAATAAAACTGAATTGAAGTTATGATGCAGGATAAAAAAAATGTATTTAATAGTAAAATATGAAAGGTTTTCATTATTCTCTATTAGTATCATTATTCTTTCTACTTTGCTTTTCAACTTTAATATTCCATGAAATGTTGGTTTTATATGTTTCCATGATGCTATTTCGCTCTATTTACACACTCTGCCCTGTTAGTACTGTATTTGCTCAAGCAATGACTTGCTTTCCCCAAGGGGATCATTAAAATTTCATTGCATCTTATCTGCAGTACTAGAGTTACAGTGGAGGAGTGTGGCTGTGTGCAGATAAAAGCAAAGAGTGTGAGGTCAAAAAAACTTCAGTGAGTAGATGAGGAAGTGTGCAGGATTAATGCCAGCTGAACTTTTTGTACTAGGCCCTTTTAGCATTTAATGGAACTTTCTCCTAAGCCAGAAGGCCACTTGGGATGTTTGAAATGGATCCCAGTGTACCAGGTAAACAGAAGCTGTGCCAAGGAGAAGATTGTTTAATGTTTTCAGGCTGCGCCCGACGTAATGTAATATGTGAAAGTGCTTCCTCAAGATCAGCTCAATCCTACGTCAACCCATTCACTTCTATTTAAATTGTCGCTCACTGATTAAAAGTGCTGCAAATAGCATTTCGCAATCAATTGATCAACAGCAAAGTAATTTGATTAGAAGCCTCCAGCACGCCAAAAGAGTCACATCTGGTGTTCATCCTCTTTAATCAGAAGTGTAACCTGCTGCACAGCTGAACAGGAATCATGACAAATGTGGTCCCAACATGGCGAAGCTGCAAGAGTACTCAGGTAATACGGTCAACATTTGACCCACCAATGCCAATCAGTGTCATCTAATCCACTTATTGTCCCTTTTCAGAAAGTCATTTTAAAATCTTTTTTGTAGTTTGCGGCCAAAATAAAACATGACTTATTTTAATTATTGGAAATCTATTCAACAGCATTTTGTCCCAAAAAAAACTTCTAATCGTTAAAAATGTCCGCAAGATGTGTGATGATAGTAAGGACAGCAAATTCTTCAGTCTGGGACATTTTTTGTTAAAGTAAATTCGAGAGACAATAAATGATACGTTACAAACTGCAACACAGAAAGTCATCTGGCTATGCTGACTTATAGAATGAACTTTGGACATTAGTGCTGTCAAAAGATCAAGCCTCCAGTAAGTAGAGTTGGTGCTTTTTTCAGCAATTTCTTAATCAAACTATGAACACAGAGCAGGCTTCATAAGTTCCCTTCTTTCAAAAAAATGTTGAAATTCTGAATATTCTCACGCTTTGAGACCTGTAAACTGATACCTCAAATGAACTGACAGCGGACCAAATCCCAGGCAGTTGGAGACTTGAGGTCTATATTGTCATGTAAATATTCCAAGGAACAGTCCATTACAAAATGGCCTGCAGACAAACAACAGCAACAGTAAACAGCTTGGGATAAATGGAAGCCGGAGAGTGAATAACTTCACATATACACATACACACACACTTTCACGTCTGTGTACAGCATCAGCAGTGGCAGTGTTTAATATGCTGAAGGAGATTGTGCGTGGTATTGGCTTTTGGCAGTGAGCAGTGGAGGGAGGAGAGAGATAGATTGGTGCAGGATCCCTCTCTTAAATGTTTAAAGACTACTCACACAGAACCCAAAGGGTGTGTGTGTGTATGAGAAAGAGTGGGAGAGACAGAACGAGAGAGGCAACATTATGTATAGAGGACTTTAGGCACGGCCACAGCTGGTTTGTGTGTGGATGCTTTGTAAGAAGAGAGAATTTCCACACTGAAATGTGGGTTTGCTGGGTGTGCTGATGCTAGAGTAGGTTTTTTGTGTGTGTTCGTTCCTGTCTAGCTATATTTGTGAGGACCGAAATCTGCATTCTACTATACCTGTGAGAACCAACAGGCACTTGTGAGGACGCACACACCGGTCCTCACAAATTTGAAGACCTTTTTGAGGCTCAAATGTGGTTTTAGTGTCAGGGTTACAATTAAGTTATGGTTAGGTTTAGGGTAAGGCATTCATTTTTAATGGTTAGGGTAAGGGTCTAGGGAAACCATTATGTCAATGAAGGTCCTCACTAAGATAGCTGAACGGGCTTGTGTGTGTGTGTGTGTGTGTGTGTGTGTGTGTGTGTGTGTGTGTGTGTTTGTGTGTTGCAGTATGTAAACGAAATCAATTCAAGTTCTTTACGCTGAGTCACTCGGTGGGGAAGAACTTTGGCGTGAGGAAGTAGAACCAAAATTGTAATAAAGTGCTTTTGTGTGTATCAGGAGAATGAAACTGGCCTCACATTGACTCCATATTTCATGAATCAGTACATAACTACGGAGCCCCTCTGATGACATGGTCCAAAAAATAAATAAATTGCAGCCACAAAATACTACTTCGTGGGCACGAAATGGGTATAACGTGGCCACGAAATACTTATTTGTGGCCACGAAACACTTGACCGATAACCGTGATCCTTCCCAGGCCCTTGCAGTTGATTCACAATAAAATCTATCCCGGCGTCCAGATCGTACTTGCGTTTATAAAACAACTGGGCTCTCAATATCCTGTTTAAATGTTTCTCTGTAATAATGGTTCCTTGCATTGCCAGGCTTTTCTAAATGCATTTGTAGCTCATTCCCAACCGTAAAATAAAACTCAATCATACTGTCTCTGCACATGGTGTATAGGTTTAGCCTACTCTTATGCCTATGGTTCTACGCAACTGTCCAGGAATTGTATCAATATGATGTGCGCACGTCATCTATTTCGTTGCCACAAATGTGTAATTCGTTGCCACGTTATACCTATTTCGTGCCCTCGAAATAGTATTTCGTGGCCACAAATAAGTATTTTGTGCGCACGTTATATTATTTCGAGGGCACGAAGTAGTATTTTGTGGCCACAATTTATTTATTTTTTGGACCATGTCATCAGAGGGGCTCCGTACATAACAGACATCAGGTCAGATTTGATGGTTTTCTGAAGTTATGGTCATTTTATAAAAAAATGTTTTGTAAATTGTCTATATTACATTTACTTTTACAAAAGCACTGAAATAAAGTCTGTTTCATAAAAATATTATGATGATAATGTGTCAGGTGTGAAAATGTAGCTGTCATTTTTAATCGGTTGTTTTGAATTTGATGCAATTTTTTACATATTATATATCATGATCATGAAACTTCCTCAACTGAAACTTATTTTTGCATTACAGATTCTGAATTTTTTTAATATGCAATAGAGGCATTATCTATATGCCATATGTGACAACTTGTGAAGCTAATTTTCCAGATCATAACTGAACACTGGATTGTATAAAGGCACCTTGTTTCAGTTTGTTCAGTCAAAAATGGACTGTCCTGCGATCTGACCAACAAAAATGTGAATTGTGATCTAATTCAATGTTTCATATGCAAGACACAAACACAATACAACATACAGGCAAAGCTAATTTCTTAATTTCTTTTGGGAACATTGGATGCGCCATGCTTTAGGGACAAGAGCTTCCTGTTAGCACACAGTTAAAAAGAAGCATCCATTTCTTTGTCTGAGGGTCATGTCTATAAAGAAGGCTGCATTAATGCTAGACAAAAGATCCGCCTGTGAAGTTTTACAATTCTCGTCTTATGTTAATCAGTCTTGAATGCTTTACTTTTGGAAGGCTTAAATACAAACTAACTGCCATTTACACGCAACTTTAAAAAACGGGAAAAACAGTTTCCTAGTAGCAGGGATATTAGTTCCACACAGAGGCTGAACACAATTATATCTACAAATCAGACCTTATGCAGTGACGTGCGCTCCACCAGCTGGAACGGGGCAGGGTCGATCTTGCAGTTGTTGAAGTTGACCTGCTCATCAAGCTGCCTCTCTTCCCACTCTGCGATCTGAAAGTCACATAGAGGATCAGTGAAAGTTTGCAGCAATATATGATTTTCACCAGCCTGTACACTACTGATCAGTTAATGAACTTTAGTGAACTTTATTATGTTAAGTTCAGATGACACAGGCTTGTTTTTAATTAACAATTAACTTTGACTTTCTATATGTGAGTGACAGGCTAAAGTGTACAGTGTAATGTCTTTATATGCATTGTCAGTCACTAATCAGAAGGCAAAGTGTAAAATAATCCTTCCTGATAAATCACATTCCTCTAACAGACAATCGATGGACCAGGCACCACAATGAATGACTTTATAAATCATAACGAGGCCTACAACACCAGATGAAGGGAAAGGTGAGAGGCGAAAAAGGAAGGGAGACGTACAGAAGAAGCAGTGACATGGCAGATGTAGGAGAGGTGAACGATAAGTTGGGGAGGGTCTGGAGAGGCAAAGTGTGAGGAATGTGTGGCTGACAGAGAGGAAATGAGAGGTGCTGTTGATGGATGAATTATGAATGATGTCATATCCAAAAATATAAGACTCCAGGGTAATAGGCCCATCTGGGGATATTGAGAAAAGCTAGAAAGCCAAGACTGTCAGGCTGTGATGTCACCAAAGTGGAGGCTGAAGTTGCAGTCAGAAAAACATAGATTTCTAAGACCAACAAAACTAAATGCACTTGACAGCTCAACAGATTCAGTGCTGTCTGTGTAGTTATAGCCGAAGTTATACCACAGCATCTTCATTAAAAACATACTGTAGTTTACTGAGTCTAAAATCTCGCGTGTGCTCGCATCACTAAAGGTTATTCCTCCCCTGAAAATAGTAAAAAAAACAAACAAACAAAAGATTATGCTAAACAGTACAATGTCCAAGTGTGGCAGAAAACTGAACCGCTTTCAAACTGAAAACAACATAGCATGGTGAGATTAACTAGCTAATCTCAAGGTGGGTTGAAATTGTCTGATGGTTTACGTTACATTCTTCAACTTGTCTGATTGGCTAGCTTGTAAGAGCCACGCTCCTAAAAGTTAACCTGCCCATAGGTGTTGTGCAAGTGCAAGCTGCTTTGAAACCCACCTTCAGCCCAGCTTCTCTTTTGCATGTCATTTCTGAATTGATAAATGTTAAATCTGTTTATTTAAACATTTATCAATGTTAAATCTTGCTCTGGTGTGTTATTGGTCTTGCTGCTCGTCAGGTTTTTATGTATCCACACGGAAGGGTGGTGAGGTCGCAGAACATATGCAGGCCTCCAAATATAACTTACTGCAAATAAAAGTAACAGAGACGGCACTAGTTCTGACTTTGATACATTTTGGTGACTCATTCGACAGTACTTAAGAGCTAAATTAACTGGGATTTGGACGGAGTTGGAATAAAATGCCTTTCCTTTACTTCACTTAGAATGAATTCTATCATCATTATTAAATACTATTTAATGCTAATTTTGATAATACTTACTTTTTTTTTCACAGATGACTTTTAGGTTTATTCTGAAAGAGCTTTTAAACCATCCTGTGACCACCAGCATCTTTAAAGAGGACCTAATATATTCATTTCTAACCTTATTATTTTATTCTCTGATGCTATTGCTCTGCATGAATCACTTTCAAAGCTTCTCTCCCTTTAAGCCAACTTTCTCCTGATTGGCTACACTTTGCATCTAAGAATATATCTGAGGAGATAACAGGAATAGCCCCTCTCAATGACATCATAAAGACCCAAGAGTTTGAAACAACATTTAGAGCAGTATGAAGGCTGAGCTTTGGGCCCACAGGGACTACTTGTACATATACTGACCTCTTTTCTAAAAACTTTGGCCATGGTAAATGTGAATACCCATTATTAGAATGGTATATATCAGGCAGGAAATGAGGAAAAGAATAACAGGCTACCTTTAAAATTCAGGGAGCCTATGCAGGCAAGATGAGATAACCTGATGACATCACTATGACATAACCAGGGACTATTTTCCCATCTTGACAAACCTCCTCCTGTGTTTTCACTGGCTGTGTAGTACCCCTAATGAAGTGAAAAATTTTGCAGTGCCTCCATTTTTTAATTCGCCAAAACAACACGCTGATCTCTTCCGCTCTCATTGCTCGGACTGGTTGTGCATCTTACCTCTCTAATGGTCATGTCATCTTCCACATCTCCATCATCCTGTAGATGAGAAGCAACAGAACAACAGTCAGTACAGAAAATAAAGCTAACCAGTGTACTTTGTACAGTCTGTATGCTACAAATACACAGGCAAACAAAAGTAAACGAATGGGTGACAAACAATGGACCTCGGTGGGTTATTACCTACATAAATATTCACTTGTACTTTTTAAGTGCGCCCCCTTCACTACATCTGTGCACAGAAGGCTAAATGACACATAATCGCCCATGCATCACATCATAAGTGTTGTACTGCGCCGCTGTCTCGAGACAGATGGACAGAAATGGGATGAATGACTAAAGGAGCGACTACAGTATATTTAATGAGTGCGGGGGATGTGATGTATGAGATGTCAGAGCAGATGATCATTATAATGATGGATTGGCGGCATGCTCAGAACTCACAGCTCTTAACTGACAGGCGGACGCAGCAGGCACGGTTTGACGAGCGGAAGTCAAACTAGCAACCCTGTGCTTTGCAGAGATAAACCAAAAACACTACATAGGTCTGGCTGAGAGGAAACTTACAGCTGAGTGGAAGGGTGCACTACCACGGGGTGTGTAAGCATGTGTGTGTTTAGTTGTGTGCTTGAGTGCAGGTATTTACATTGACAGGACTGGACGCAGCGCAACATGTGTGTGTGAGAGAGAAAGAGAGACATAAAGAAAGGCAGGGGGATGTGACCCGAGGGCTGATGGAAGCCCTGAGCTCATTTATCCTCATCACCATAGTGGCCGACCTGTCGGTAACCCTAGCAACTGTTGCCGTGGGGTAGAAAGAGGTGCCCTACTGTAGCATTATGCAAGCAGAGGCCAGACGTGCCTGGAGTTTATGAGACAAAACAAACACGTAGACGCAACTACAGCACTTCAGCTCCTCTGTCTCACTGATCATTCTGCTTGTCACACAACACAAGGGCGCTCTGAATGTCACCAAGACACACCGTTGTTCCAGGGGTCAAATGTAAAACACAGGAAGTTGGGGAGGTTTCTGCAGAGGGGGGTGGGTCTCTGCATAGGAAATAGGGGCTTTTAGATAGATTAGCTGCTCTACTAAGACCAAATCTCTGCAATTTTGCAGAAGTGTGTGTGTGTGTGTGTGTGTGTGTGTGTGTGTGTGTGAGAGAATGAAGTGGGAGGGTAAAGTTTTCGAGTCTCTGTGACACTGACAGTCAATTCAGAGAAACTGCGTGGGCATATTCAGATGAGAATTGAATGAGCATGTGAGTGCACAGAGACATATTGAGAGGCACTGAGCTCCAGAGTGCTGACAATGGGCTGATGAAACCATTATCGCCTGTTGTGCTGCAGGTTTGATCAAACAAAAAGTCAAAGGGTCTTTTGCCCTTTCACTTGCTCCTCCTACAGCAGTCATCTTTACTTTGAGTCAGTGGAACCATCCACAGGGCAGTGAAGAAATTTAAGTACATTTACTTTATTATCCAAAAGTTACAAAACAATACTTTGCCCCCAATGTCACAAATATTTATGAGTCACAACAGCAATAACATGCTGATACTGACACTGCTAAAATCATGCTTCTGTCTTTCATGGCTTTAGAGTAAAACTATTCACCTCTGAGCATTTGACCATGACCTCCTAGGACCCGAACTCTTCCACAGCATGCATTTTTAATTTCTCTTTGATATTTGGGCATATTGGGGCCCGATGAATATAAAAACAAAGAATTACCAGATTATTATTTTTTTTTTACCTTATTTTTGTTTTTAAGAAAAATAAGAGCCACATATGAGGATATTCGTTTTAAATTTTGATAGAACAGGAGCAGTATAATGTCCTCATAAGTGGATATCAGGCCCTTGTAGAGCAAAATTGAGTATTTTGGTCTAAATAACCCAAAATGTGATGTCCACATATGTGGACGCCAGGTCCTAGGAGGTTAAAGAATTCATTCACTTTCTGTGTGTCTGGAACACCACGACCATGTGCTGCCTGGCTGTTGAGTTTTCTTGGACTTAACCACCAGCTCATCAGAGCAGAATCATGCAGAACACAAAGGACCAAATAACTACACATAACAAATATTGGGGACATCTATTTATGTTTTGTAGGCCTGAAAGGAAAAATATCAGCTGATAATGACAGAAATATTGGTATTGTTCATAAAAATCCTGTATCCCTTGGATTCCATTTAACATTATATCCAGAAAACCTGTAACCAAGAAGAAGCTTTGTACAGGTGACGTCTACTCACCCATTTAAAATTTCATATTGAGGCTCAAGGTAGTGCTGGTGCATTGCGTATACTTTTTGTAAGTTTTCACTGCATAAGGTTTGATATTAAAGTAAATTACAGCCCTTACTGTTGAAAACAATCATCCAGTGCTTGCATTAGCAATGTCGATCAATTCCCTAGTTTTATCTAGATATTTTATTGTTTGACTTCAAGAAAAACAAAACGGCCAAAAATACAAAACTCGAGGTGGTAAAAATGGTGACTAATGCCATCTTTTTTATACAGTCTGAGGCTCAGATCTCATGAGATGTGGTCAAGTCATTGCAATGTTCATTTTTGTTGTTTATACTTTTGCGGGCTCCAAATCAAATTTCAGCTTGTTGCTTTCAGGTAAGATTAAAATGTTACCTGAAAGCACTGTAGTGGGTCTCTGGTCTTTGGACTGGGGTTTTAAATAGGGCCCTGCTGCTCTCTGTCCTCTGAATGGCTGTTACAACTGGTGCAGTGATTATAAAAGGTGCCATAAAGTTTTATGGGCTGTGTTTATACTCAGTATAGTGTTGTATGCTCTTTCTCCAACTACACAGCACTGAATGGCACGATAGGGAAACATTGCAAATATAGTTGCTTGAAAGACTTTAACATAGTTTCAAAGTAACATCATTAATGGTTTCATTCAACTACAGTGGAACAATAACGAAACTGTGGAGTGACACATTGTTACGACTGCTGGTTAAAGTTGTGAAAAAGGGGACGAGTAAATCTTTTTAATATTGTGACTAAAACCAGCACAAAGTTCTCCACACTGAACCTCTGATATCAAACATCAAATCAGTTCACCCTCAAAACAAATTACAGCCAGCATGTCACACTCATTTTCTCTAGATAAGTTCACCCTCTCTGCAGTGTTGTCTGAAATTATTCAGGAAATGAAAACTTCATCCTGTCCCCAGAATATTCTTCCTATCAGATACCTGAAGGACAATTTTAATGGAGTCAGTGTCTTTGTAATACAAAGAACTTGCTGCTATTGAACCCATTCTGAAAGGACTAACACTTGACCCTGATGACTTTAATAATTTCTGCCCCGTTTCAAATTTTTACAAAAGAATGTGCCCCGTACTGTAATCTGTGTCTGTTTTAGACAGACAACCATTTCAGGCAGACAGAGATCATTACAAAAGTGAGAATGTTCATTCCACCCAGAACAAAAATTTCAAGACAGATTTGTTCAGCACTATCAGCCGAACTCATCACTGGTCTTAGTCCTTTAGACTTAACCTTGTGTTTAATGAAGTTAATCATTCTGTCTTCTTGGACTCTCTTTGGGACCAGGCCCGAGTTCAGCTTCTAATAAAAGGTTTTCTCTGATGTCTGTATACATATAATTCCTGTTACACACTGGTTGCCACTCTTTTAGTAGCCAATAATCCTCTTCTTTCATGTCATTTCAGTCAGATTAGATTGGACCAGCGATTCATAAATCAAAAGATTTGTTTTCAAGTCCTTACTAGCTTCTTGTAACAACTAGTTGGTACGAGACTGTTTAAAACTAGCGTCTTTATGTGAACTAAATCTACATTGCTTTTACATTTTTTTTTAAATTGTTTTAGTAATAAGTGTAGTTGTTTATGGCTTTTTTTGGTGCGTAGGCACACAAGTCACATCAAACATGTGGAGCTGCCTGCTGTGAGTTAAGGAGTAGGTGAAAGTAGTTTTGATTTCAGGATTTGCTAATTTTTGTATGCTTTTCTATAGTTATTGTTACGGACTTGCTGTCTACCGCTCTGCTCTTGTATTTACTGTTTAATTAATATTCTATTTCAGCCCAGTTCATTTTTCTTTTGAAAGTTATTGTTTTCTATGAATAAATGCAAAGCTAGGACTACTGTACATTTAAAAGCTATTAACAAATTACAGAATTAAATTAAAAAACTGGGATGACTTTCACTTGTTTAGAAATACATAAATAGGGAGATATATTGCAAGAAGTAGCATTTATACATTATAAAATACATGAGAACTATCCAATTAGAGCAGGGCGATATGACCACAAATATTTATCACGATATACATTTGAAAATTTGCGATAACGATATAACTGACGATATAATTGACACTAGACAAAATACTTTACAACTCCACAACTTTATTAGTGCAAAAAACCCCCAAAAACCATCAATGTATTTTCACTAAAACAAGCAGCTGTTTTTTTATGTCCATTAAAGTTATATAAAAATTCAAGAGTGCAAATGCAAATTCCTTGCTGACAGTTTAACCAAAAATTTCCAGTGGAAATTGGCCGACATATCCTCAGCATAACCATGTATAATACCCACAAAACTTAAAAACAGGTTATACACACACAATACGGTAATATTATGTTGAAGCACAGTACGTATCACTCCGTGAAGCTCCTGACTACAGTAGCCGTAATGCTCCAACAATCCATCAAGCGGTGCGGCTTCGTAGCTTAGCAAAATCGTACTAAAACATTTGACAGATTTCTGCGCGCCGTGTACCACATAAAAACGTTTCGAGGTCGGTAAACACAACCAGAATTCATACATAAGGCACACGGGATTATAAGGGGCACTGTCGACAGAAAAATCAAAGGATTGATTTTAAGTGTGCCGTATTTTCCAAACAACACGGTAATAACGATGGCCCGCTAGCATGCTCTACCAAAAATAGTGCTTTGTTGTGTATGTGACGGACGAAAGCTAAACCAGTTCCACATCATTGAAGTTGCAGCATTTTTACAAACCAATTCTGGTTCATGCGTTTCATTCAACGATCCGCT